AAAAAAAAAAAAAAAACGAACAGACCACGTCTGTGAATCGCTGTTTCTACCAAGTTGGTGGCCTTCCTTGTCTAGCACTGGTCTCAACTCTTCCACTCAGTCTTTATTTCTCTACCTTCAGTGATGATTACAGTTTTGCCTTTCTTAAAGATGAGGTTATGGGAAGGACTACTTTTCTCATGTCTCATGCTCACCCTGTGTCTCCGTAGGCTCCTTCATGACCTACCACGACCCCATGCACTTGTCCAGTAGTGCTGTTAAGAAATGAGGTATATTAATGTACACAGCTATGATTTAATAAAAAAAAAAAGAAATAAATAGAAATGAGGTATAGATACTGTTGCCCAATAAAGGGTTTAAGCTTTAACATTCAAAAAATAGATAATTTCTTAGTGTAGTATATGCAAAAAGCACTAGACTAGAGTCCAAAGACCTGCTCTGCTTCCTGCTGAATCAGCGGTTCTCCACCTCTGGGTCGCAACCCAGGAACTGTATTAAAGGGCCACGGCATTAGCAAGGTTGAGAACCACTGAGCTAAATGAAAGACCTTGGAAAAGATAGTCTCTGGGCCTGTTTCTTTATGTGTGAGGTGTAAACAGTACATTCTTTACCACCCACCGAGGGTGATGAGAATCAAATGAAACTGAGTGCTTAATTGCTAGTCGTAGTACTTCTTCCGTTCTTTGGGCATAACAGGGATTCTTAAATATACATTTGGGAAAGAATTCTTTTTAATCTGAACTTTATAGCTGCTGAAATGAGGTTGATAATCTCAACTCTGATATCAATTGATACATAACTGAATCAGAAACAAAATTATGGTATATCCTTACCATAGACTACTACTCAGCAAAAGGTACCTGTTTGCAGTATATTCAGGTTATGTATATGAATTTTATTTTAGGAATTTTATTTTAGATAGATTTTCTTCTGGGACTCTTCTTGTCAGGAATAGATGATGATGATTGGTGAGACTAAGATTTCCACCTCTTTCTGTTAAAGAAAATTTACTTTGGGGCGGCACCCATGGCTCAGAGTAGTAGGGCGCAGGCCTCATATGCCAGAGGTGGTGGGTTCGAACCTGGCCCCGGCCAAAAAAAAAAAAAAAAGAAAATCTCAAGTGGCTAAGGCACCAGCCACATACACCAGGGCTGATGGGTTCAAACCCAGGCAGGCATGCCAAACAACAATGAGAACTACAACCAAAAAATAGCCAGACCTTGTGGCAGGCGCCTGTAGTCCCAGCTACTTAGGAAGCCGAGGCAAGAGAATCACTTTAAGCCCAGGAGTTGGAAGTTGCTAAGATAAGGTCTCACCGTTTCCTGGACTGCAGTCATAGAACACGGTAATCTCCAGCTCTTGGGCTCAAGTAGGCCTCTAGCCTCTCAGCCTCCCAAGTTGCTGGAACTACAGGTGCATAGCTTTTCTTTTAACACACTGTGCTATCAAACACCAGACTGTATTCTTTCTGTGTGACTGTACATTTGTATCCATTAACCAACCTCTGTTTCTTCCCCTTCTCCCACCCTTCTTAGCCTCTGGTAACCCCAAATGTACTCTCTGCCTCCATCAGATCAGCTTTTTTAGCCTCCACATATAAGTGAGAACATGGGCTATGTTTCTTTTTCTGCCTGAGTTATTTCACTTAACATTATTATGGCCACCAGTTCCATCCACATTGCACAAATGGCAGGATTTTATTCTTTTTTTTTAGGGACAAAGTCTCACTTTATCCCCATCGGTAGAGTACCATGGCACCACAGCTCATAGCAACCTCCAACTCCTAGGCTCAGGTGATTCTCTTGCCTCAGCCTCCCGAGTAGCTGGGACTACAGGTGCCTGCCACAACACCTGACTATTTTTTGTTCCAGTTTGGCCTGGGCCAGGCTTGAACCTGCCACCCTTTGTATATGGGGCCAG